GTGTTTATGTATAAAGCCAGGAGCAATTTATTACCTGGTGGAATTCAAAAACTATTTAATGAAAGGGAAGGGGGATACAATTTAAGGGGTCAGTTAAATTTAAAAATTCATGCTATACGTACAACCAAAAAAAGATTTTGTATTTCTATAAGTGGGGTAAAACTATGGAATAATTTAAGTGTGGACATAAAAAACAGTAACAGAATTGACGAGTTTAAACATAAATATAAAGGTATGTGTCAATCAAGATATATGCAAGAACAGGTTTAATGATTAATTAGATGGAACATTGTGGGTGTGGTGTATGAATGTTAACACTCTGTAATAATTCTTTACTATATTACTTGTGTGGTGTAGAAGATAATTATTTAAGAATGTAATTATGTAAGAATGTTAACACTGTTATAATTTTTTAGTATAATACTTGTGTGGGTAGAAGTGAATCATTTACTGCTTGCAAACCAATGATGGTAAGATGATGTCATGGGGTAGGACTGGATAAGTCTGACTTCTTCCTACTCCATTCAAGCATGTACTAGGTATAAGCAAATTGATATTGGATTATGTGTAAAATTATGTGTGTTGACATATCAACTGTCTTTACATGCTTGAAAGAAAAGAATAAATCAATAAATTATTGAACGGGAACACAGGGTACAAACCCAGGGTCATAAGAGGTCAGAGGGTCCATGGGGGGTTCGTTTTATGTAATATATTGTGCTGTATTTATTTAGTACAATATCTGTGCAGATCGGTCTCAGTGTGGATCTACTGTGGCAGGCATGTGACAGCCTTTCTTCATATTCAGTGTGAACTAAATAATAAAGTTCAGCTGCAACCACTTCAACCACAGCAGCACCTGCTGAGTGTTACTGAAAGATGCACAAAACGATTACACACACACACACACACACAAAATCACAAACATGCAAAATGACTACAAAGAAGCACAAATTACAGCAAACTTAAAATTAGCCTATCACAAAAGTCAAATGACTACAAATAGATGCAAAGTCACTACAAAGATAGGCTAAACAATCACAGAGATACTGAAGAACCACGTGGAGATAGAAAGTGATCACTGAAAGATGGAAAACAACCACAAAGCGACATGCAACAATCACAAACAGACATAGAATGGCCACAAAGGAACCGAAAATGATCAGAGAGATGAACAATGACTTCAAAAGGATGCAAAATGTTCCCAAGGAGATGCACAATGACCTTACAGAGAGAAGAAATGATTGCAAAACAGCTGCATCATTTTTTGTTATTTGTGTCTCTTTCAGTCTGGGTGTCTTGCTCCTAGTTTGAAGGTCTGCCTAAATTAGTCTGTGTAAATAGCAGATGCTCATCCCCTTTTAAGTCTTTCTTAATTAGCCACTTTTGTGATCTTGTTACTCTGCCAGCTGCAGCCAGTTAATTTACTCACTCTGGTGGTTTGTCCACATGCACTCACTAGATCAGAAAAGTCAGCTGGAAACTGTGTTGTGTTCATCTGACAAAATGTCTGAACATGAGAACATAGACGGAGAGCTGTGTTTTAAAAAAACGTTTTGAGCTGCAAGCACAAGAGGATTACAGATATTTACACTCAGACTGGGGCAGCTAACAGAGTGGTGGTGGTGTGTTTCTTTTTGTGTGTGTGCAGTTTCAGGGTGGAGTTTGGTCCTTGAACATGCTGATGTGTGATGGCCTGATGACCATGGATGTGATGCTGTGCACCGCATCCATATTCAACCTCTGTGCCATCAGTGTGGACAGGTATGTGTGTTAAGGTTTATGTGAAAATATAAATAATTCCTTGGGAGTTTCAGGTTGCTTATGGAGGAAAGGAAGAAGAAAACTGTCGGAGGTGGCAGTTTAAGTACAAAGACTCAAATTTAAACAAACATTGAACCAGAGAATAGATATTATAATTAATTATTACACTGTAAAGTCAGTGAATATGAACAGCTATGAGGTGATTATTTCACTTTTTTCCACCACTATTGTGACTCGTTATTCTTCAATTTGTTTTAAGGAGGCAAACGTGTTCATAATCAGTTAGCACACAAAAAACAATGCTTTAAAATAAACTAGTGCAGCAGTTTAGTTCAAACAAAGCACAGGTGTCTGATTTTAAAAATGTTTCACATAACTCCACTATTTTGCCTTTCTGATAGATAACTGTTTGTGACTCTAGTGCTGATACAGTTTTGGTACCTAAAGAATATTTTTATTTTCTTTAAGAAATATCTACTCTTTTTTTTCAAACAAAACCTTTTTTCATTTAAGAAACTCAGCTTGTTGTCGCCGCTGTTGCCACCGCCTTTACCCCCTCTGACAGGCACCATCCCTGGGCCTCTTCCCATACCTTACAAATTTAAGAAGTCAGTAATCTCATCAATTGTCACAACACTTTTGATTCATTTGCATTCACCTTGTTTCCAGCAGCTTCAGCTGTTTTCAGTGAAAAAGCTATAAAACCCCTCGATGGCGCGCTGGAGCCACCGTTAACATAAAAACTCAGAACACATATTTATTTTCACTTTACCCTGACTTTTAAGTTCATCAGGTAGACAAACATGACTTCTCTTTTGGATGTGTACACAGCTGTACATGTTGACCCTACTGGCTTTATAGAGTGTTAAATTACCACTATTGTGTTTACAGCTTCTTGGGTGGCCAAAATAAATAGCTTAAATACATACATACATGAAATGAAGGCTGTCTAAAGCAACGAATGTATAAACAATAGACAGTCTAAGAACTCCCGGAACTCTATCGCCCCCTGGTGACTGGTTGCAGTATAGGTCATTGATTCTCCTCCATGTTAGTTGATGTCTAGATTTTCACATGCTATATGTTTGGATGTTTTCTAAAAGTGCTTAAGTTTAACTTCATTAGATTTGTAATAACACAATGCTACCACATAAACATTATCCTGGTTATGGTCCACAATCTCATTCACCACATTTAGCTCATCAGAACCAAACAAACACTATTATTAGCATGTAAATAACTCACAGCAAGATGCCTTTGTGGTTTACTCCTCATCCCTATCGTATGTGAGCCCAGTGGTTCCAAAACCAACAGCGGCATCAGTCTGTTGACTCCCAGAAACCTTTAGCCTTTATTTACGGTAAGTCACTGAGAAGCAGGCAGAAAACAAGGGAGACAGAGAGAGAGAGAGAGTGGGGGAGATCTGTGACAAATGTTGGTGGTCAGACTTGAATGGTTTAATTTACAAACCAGTGATTACAAAAGCCAGTGGAGATAATTAATAAGCATTTAACATGGATTTAATGAGGTTATAGGTTATAGCCTTGGAATGACAATTTTCTGATTTGTGTCTGGTAAACACAGAGGATTTGAAAGAATAAGAATGAAATAGTAGTTACTATTAGATATTAAGACATAAATACTGCAGGTTAGTCACTCTGTTAAACATGTCCCTGAAAGCATTAACCCTAACCCTTCTTTTGTTTTGCAGGTTCATTGCGGTGTCTATACCCCTAAATTACAACCGTAAGCATGTAGACCATCGGCAGCTCATCTTGCTGTCTGCTACCTGGCTGCTGGCCTTAGCCGTGGCCTCTCCTGTCATCTTTGGCATCAACAACGTGCCTAACCGTGACCCCAGTGAATGCAAACTGGAGGACCACAATTATGTGGTGTATTCCTCCATCTGCTCTTTCTTCATCCCCTGCCCCATCATGGTCCTGCTCTACTTTGGGGTTTTCCGTGGGTTGCAACGCTGGGAGGAGGCTCGTAAGGCCAAACTGCGCAGCAGCATCGAGGCCTGCAGAAAGCTGCAGCACGCCACTGTTGCCACCGCCCTTCCCCCTCTGACGGGCACCATCCCTGGGCCTCTGCCTATGCCTCTACCCAGGATCATCGAGAGAGACTTGGCTCAGTCTCGGCTGGATGATACGGATGACTACATCCAGCAGGAGATTCCTTATCCTCGGCAGTACAGAGAGAACTCAGTGCCCACAGTGACATTCAGCCAGCAGCAGGAGATGAAGAAGAGGGCCAAGATCACCAGCAGGGAGAGGAAGGCTATGAAGGTGCTGCCTGTTGTAGTAGGTGAGTGTTCATGTTCTCTCTCACTTACTCAAAGGGTTTTTACAGCTACAGCTGTGACTAAATATATTGAAAGGACTGTTACAGATCCAAAAGTCCATTTAGACACTTTTCATAACACACTTGAGCTGATTTACATGAATACAATCCAAACCTTAGTTCAGGGGCCTGTGCCACAAAGCAAGATTAGTGTGTTACCCAGCTACAGTATCTTGGGGTTGAGGCTTTTTGGTATCACAAAGCTGGCTCACTTTTAATCTAAATAACCTCATGTACCAAACCAAAGCTTGCATTTTTAAAGTTTGGTTAAAAAAAGACTCCTCATCTGCAGAATGGTTATGCAGTATGCTTGCACTGCAGGGTAAAGATTATGGAACCAGAGCATGACAACTGACTCAAAAATAAATTTGTCAAGTACAAATGTTGTTCCCAAGAAGCTGTCAAGGGCCTTTGTGCTCAACGTAATGGATACGTTTATAAGTTATCTGTTTATTCACCGAAGCAGGAAATTAAAGTAAAATTGCTCCTGACAGTGAGGTGTTTTAGTCCTGAACAGTTTGAGAATTTAATTAGTACCTGACTGAAAATCGGCACTGCTGGAGTTGTAAGTAAAGTGTGGTGCCTCACAATCACACAGGATCTGCAAGAAATTATACAAATTATACAAACTCACATTTTCAATCCCCACAGCATCTCTCCTCTGGGAATCTGGATTGTTTTTTCTGATTTTTCCTTCATGTGTCAACATATTGTGGGAAATGTTTACATGTTACAAATTTTGCAAGATAAAAATGATTTTTGCTTCTTGATGTTGTTCAAAACAGCTAATTAGCTTTGGCTGATTGTGTTTACAGTTACGGTTTGTGTTGCAGCTCAGACAGCAGCTAGGCTGCTGACGTCAGGCAGGTCACTCTACGTGCCATCTCCTAACAAGAGCCATTATAGCGTAAAGCCTTCAATCCAATTATGCAACACATGCTCTTACAGTCGTACAATCTCTCCTGTACACAGACTGTAGAACATGCTGAGATCGGCTCTGATTTGTTTGATGTTTCGACCAATGACCCACCAGAGAATATTACATTCATTCTGTAGAAATATATTTTAGTTGATGGAATTTTTATTTTCCATCCTACATTTACACCCTGAAGTCCCCGTCAAATTTAGAAGCTTGACCCTTATTTTCTCAACAGAGTTTTGTACAGATGTGATGAGAAGTGTTGATGTCCTTACACCTCATTGAAACAATGCTTCACTCCTGGGAAGTAATGAAATTCAAAGCTCTGTTGTCATGTAGACCTGCAGCCTTTGGTTTGTCATAGAATAAAACAAAGAGCTGAGTTCTCGCTTATTCTACAAAGACCATCTAAAATGGTCTGAACATAATAATTGGAATCAGTGATAAATAAATGAATTGTTGTGATATTTCAAGCAGACTGTTGCCTGTAATTAGTATTATATCTTATAATCAGTCATTCATCTATTTGAATGGAGAAACATTCTCATTGTGCTGTTTGGTATCATCATGTACACCACCCTGAATGTGGACAAGAGAAAAAAGAAGAGAAGGATGAGCTGAGAAGGACAATAATCGGCGAGCACGGTCCAGGTCCAAGCAGCTTGATGTTTCTCTGACCACAGTTGTCATCAAGAGGTTTAAGGTCCATGTGCCTGTAGCCAGCAAGAGGAAAATCAGCCCCAGACTGAACAGAAGGAGAGTTTGATGAACAAAGACCCCAGGAAAACTTCCAATCAGATACAAACTGACCTCCAAGATCAAGGTACAACAGTGACCAGTCACGCCATAGGTGGCCTTCTGAATGAAGAAAACCCAGGAAGACCCCAGTTCGGCCATATGGAGTTTTCTAAATGTATGTTGACGAGCTTTAATGCTTCTGGGACAATGTCCTTTTTGGACAGATGAAACAAATTGACAACTTTTTGAACTTAGATTTTTCATTTAAAACATACTATTTTTACTACTTGTGTAGCTGAGGCATAGCCTCCAGTGAGGAGCAGTCTGAGCCAGGAAGGGGTTAATAAATGAAAGCCTGAATGTCCATGGCTTAGGCTTGTGTTGTTATATATTTTGTTACAGAGAACAGTTTTTGTTTTTGTTTACTGCACTGATTGAAGTTAAAATTGTACATTTTAGCTTCACTTCCTACCAAACAAACTACTTAGTTGAAATATTTTGGATTCAATAAGCACATTTGGAACTGGATTCAGATCTGAGAAAGTGAGAGCATACACCATCCCTATATGTAATCTTACTTTAGAAAAACTTATTGTAATTAAAGCTTGTGTTTTTTATCCTGTGCTTGTAGATATATTTTTTATGTAAGATTGTGGAATGAGTTTCATGTTTGCAAGCTTCTACCTTACATTCATCTTTAATGTCATCTGGTTTCAGGTTTACACAAATTTACATTATAATTATTGTTATGTTTGGATGTTTTAGATATTTTATCAGAAAGCAAAATATGACAATGAAAGCTTAAATTGTCTTCATGTTGCAAGCAAAATCAACTGCTTTCAAGTTCAAGGAGTTGCTTTTTTTATTTTATTTTTCTTATAGTTTCAAATTTAAAATGCATACACGTGATCTATTATCCTGGTTATCCTGTAGAGGGTCATGGGGGGCTGGAGCTGATCCCGGCTGACACTGGGTGAGAGGCAGGGTACACCCTGGACAGGTAGCCAGTCTATCACAGCGCTGGCACTTATAGACACATAACCACTCACATTCACATTCATACCTACAGGCAATCAACACACTTTCTGGAAATGAAGATGCCAGTCAACCTAAGCTGCATGTCTTTGGACTGTGGGAGGAAGCCAGGGCACCTGGAGAAAACCCACCAGGCACAGGGAGAACATGCATACCCCGCACAGAAAGGGCTCATTGGCTGTGAGGTTCAAATCCGGAACCTTATTTCTGTGTGGTGGCTGTGCTAACCACTGCAGCACTGTGTGGCCCAAAGTTTGCAGTTTTCACTTGAATTATTCATTCATTCAATCACTTTCTACCGCTTAGTCCCTGAACGGGGTCACGGGGGGGCCGGAGCCAATCCTGGCTGGCAATCGGGCGAAGGCGGGGTACACCCTGGACAGGTCGCCAATCACTTGAATTATTCTATTGCCTTTTGCCTGCCCTTTGTTCCATCTATACCGCTTATTCCTGAATAGGGTTGCAGGGGGGCTGGAGCCAATCCCAGCTGACATTGGGAGAGAGGCAAGGTACACCCTGGACAGGTCGCTAGTCTATCACAGGGCTCTGGCCTTTTGTAATCACACTTATTTTGGTCAGTGTGTTAGTATTAAAAACTATTATTTAGAGGTTTTCAAACCCCTGACAGTTCACATTACTGATTTATATAATAGTGTCTTCTAGCAAAAGCAAGTATAATTTGTACAAAAACAAAGACATATTTGATTAGTTTGTCTACACTGTGATCAGTATTTTAACTCACAGACGCATAATGTGACATATTGCAAAATATTGTGCCACAGTATTCTACAACAGATTCACAGGAAGACACAAGAAGTTCCATGCAGAAGTGAATCTGTCACTTTGTTTAGAAGACACAGTGGGACTCGAACATTTCCAGGGTTGTGATTTAAATACAAAGCACAAATGAAACATGGTTTTCCTTTACATATTTTCATGCAGGCTGCTTCTTGTTCTGCTGGACTCCGTTTTTTGTGGTCCACACGATGCGTGCCATGTGTCTGACTTGCAACATCCCTCCTGGACTGATGAGCACTGTCACCTGGCTGGGCTACGTCAACAGCGCTCTCAACCCCATCATCTACACTATTTTCAATGCAGAATTCAAGAAATTCTTCAAGAAATGTTTCCGGAGCTGCTGCTGACACCAAGTTTCCCTCCAGAGCCTATGAACTAAAAGGGAGGAACTTAGCAGATCATTGAGATATATGATCAAGATCATCTACCTGGCTGATTGAAAAAATACAGCCTACACTTTAAGAGCGTTTTAACAGGCAGTCACTGGTGATTTCAGGGTCCAGTTTGTCATGTGGTGATGTGGTCGTTTGATCCCAGACAAAATATTGATGTCTTTATGGAAAGCTGCACAAACCAGCAAAACACTGCTGGTTGATAGACTCTACTGCCTGAAAGGAAGATTTCATCATTTTCAGTGCGTCTATAACTCTCTTGTCTTTTGAATGATAGTGCTGTATATCAACCCTGGCTGGGGTTATAGTCTACCAATTCCAGTGAAGGATGTGGGGTTTACACAGGGCATGATAGGTGACAGGCTCAATCCGAAAGCAATCCAAGGATGCAGAAAGACAGACAGGATTCATGACTAAATTAGCCTTTGATCCACACTTTTTTATATAACCTTAAATGAATTGTTTGAGGTTTTGGAAAACATATTAATTTGCCTTCCTGCCAAAAGTTATATTACAAGATCAATACCACTCTCGCATTTGTGTTAAACATGAAGCTGGCTAGACTAGCTCTGCCAGACACACATTATCTGGCTGTGCAGCGTGGCTCCTTCACAGCTGCTGGAGTGTCCATGTTTGGAGCATCTGATGCGTGGTTCCTATTCCCGATCCACTATCTTTAAGTGGCAGGTTTATTTTTGCCAATGGAGCTTGCATCTCTGAAGCCAGAAATTCACCTGTAAATTTATATTAAAGCCTGTATTTATTGACAGTTGAATTAAAATTCTTTTTAATAATGCTTTTTTCCGTTTCACATTTTGATTTCACACATACACAGCAAAACATGTGTCTCC